GAGCTTTGTGCAAGGTTGCCTTGGGTTGTTACGGTTTCCTCACTGATGGGCTGTATCAACAGCCAGGGTAGTGTAGACCTCACCTCATCTATGGTCAGGAAATAACTAGTTCGTGGAATTGGGGCACTGAAGAGTGGATCTGCTTGGCTAGTTAGCTATCTGTGTACTTCAAGCACATTAGCAGGTGGCCTGAGCCACTTTAAACTACCAGACGCAAAACAGGAGATAAGGATGCACCTTGCAGAATGGACTCAACCTAAGGTACTGGGGAAAAAAACAGCATGTCTTGTGTCCCTGAGTAGGACAGTATTCCAGATCCTGAAGGACTGGGAATGTGCCCAACAGCTGGAGACTGGTAGTATCTCTTCCTTGTGCTGTGCTTGCTTTGATCTCAGGGCTGAAGAGGTGTTAAAGCAAGGCAGAAACTGGCACTGATGACCCTGGTCCCCTGAGCATTGACTGTCCTGGATGTCCAGGGCGCTGCTGAACCTCGACACCAATTCCCAGGGCACTGAATCATCCCACCCACCCGACCTTCTCCCCCAGAGCCCTTTGTGGTGGTTTAATGCAGTCATCTGCAATTTAGGATCAAAACAGTTGTTCTTATGCTGCTGCTGATCTGCCCTCTGGGCCAGGTAGGATGTCTCTATCAGCCATCGCATGACTTTTTGCCTCTGAATCCTGTGGCTCTGGTTGCAGGTAGAACCTAACTCTTACCCTTCTTCTGTAAGCTGTAACCTCTTCTCTGCTGAAACAGCAGGAGTTTCATTATCTCCTACGGCCCGTCACAGTCCCCCAGCTAAAATGCAGCCACTAATATCGTCTGACCAGGCATTAGAGTACAGCTGCAGCCGTCTCGGAGTCAATTGACTCTAATCCTTTGATTCATGGTGGGCATCTCAACCCCTAAGGCCTGCCACAGCTCTCCTTCTCCCTTGGCCACCCTCATGTCCTGACCCCTTCCCCTCCATGGCTGTCAGGTGATGCTGGCCATGCCATAGCCTCCTTCCTAGCAAAGCCAGCTGATCCTCCACCAAAAAAAGTCTTTCCCTGGCATGCTGCAGGTAAGTGAGAGGCAGGACCTCAGTGCCGGCTCTCTCCCAGCTCCCAGTGTAGATGTCCTTGCAGGACACAGCAAGCTCCACCAAAGCTGGAGCAAGCAAGCTGGCTGGAGCTGGCTCTTCGTCCCTGCCAAGGATGGGAGGTGCAGGCAGGTAGATGAGGATGGTGGCCAGGAACGGGTGATTCACAGGGGGACAGAAGTGCCCGGGCTTTGTGTTTTGCCCACCATTCCTTCCAGAGCAGCTTTTTGGGTGGCTTCACAAAGGGGAAGCAAACGCACAGCCCAGCTGCATCTTCCAGCTTGCCGGGAGCCCACAGCCATGGTCTGCGCCATTCAGTGCGTGATTCATCACCTCTGCTCTTGTCCCTCCCCAGGCAGGAGCTAGTCTGAGCTGCATGTGGGATCTGACGGGATCCCTCTTCCCTGACTCAGCTGGGGCTCCCCCTGCGTGCCCCGTTCCTTGCAGAGCATCCTGGCACGGCTCCACTTTCCTTGCAGATAGGTATTTTTCAAAGACTCGAGAAGTTGTTGTTTGTTTTTTTTTTTTTTGTCTAATGGATTTCCTGTTTTTAATACAATTGAAAGGGTCTGAAATCCATGCTTTAGATTAACATATGCCAGCTAGATTAGGGCTAATCAGGGTGCAGGTCTGAGCAGATGCAGCGGAGGGCCAATCCTAGACCTGATTACAGTATCTCAGTAGTTTAATCGTCTCTCTCCCAAGGGCGATCATCTCTGCTTTAATGCACAGCAGACTTTCCAGCCCTCTCCTCCTTTGGTTTGTTACCACCCCTGGCAGGAAGGCCGCTACGTCAGATGCTGAGGCGATTTAGTTTAATCCCATGCAGAAAGGGATCTGTGCGTCGCCATCTCTCACAGAGACTTCCCTGCTCTTCCGTGCACTCCAAGATGTGGCCAGCCTTGGCCAAACCTTGGGTGACGTGAACTCATCCTTTCCAAAGATGACCTCGGTTAGGTCTTCACGTCTCACCATCTTTTGATAGCACCCGTCTTTGGCAGCAGCCCTACCCTGGCCAACGCGCATGTTTGCACAGCATGGAGGGATCAGGCTTTTAACGTTGCATGCTCTGTGGTCCATGAGGGTAGTGGTGACGGGTCTTTGGGTTGGCCATGGGTAGTAGACTGTCATTTGAGAGCTCCAGCAGTCTACTTTGGGTTAGCAACCCAGGTAACCTAGAGGGCTTAGCTGGGTTTTTGGTCTGGAGCAGGGATTTTAGGTGCATCCCAGGCCAGATCTCCAGCTCTGTGCCAGCACCTGCTTAGGCTGGGATGTGCTACGTTTCCTTAAAGGGTCTGATAGGAGATTTTCTTCAAGAGGGCTGAGCGTGAGCTCTTATTTCAGTGTTTTGTTGCCTAAAACTCTCATCTATTAGAAAGCACCCTGGGAGCTTTGTACCTTCTCCTGACTCCACACTGTTCATAGCAGTCAGTGTTGAACCATCGCACCAGGAAAGCAATTCCTTGGTTGGGCCGTGAACTGGACAAACATGGATGTAACCCTTCTGGCATGGGTCAGCCTTTTGGCTGGGGGATCACGGAACTTTCCTACCCGCAGAGCGCTTTGAGATCCCAAGAGGAGGGATGTTAAAGGACTGCAAAGCACACTGTGCTCTGCTGGGGTCACCCACCTGGTCAGCACGATTAACTCCTAAGCTTTCCTGTCTGTACAGTAAGTTATCTGAGGACACCAAGCTGCACTCTGCCGCCTCGTGTTATTAAACAAGTGCCCTTGGCGGGACAGAAGTCTGCTCTCTGCCACAGAAACCTGAATCAAAAGAGATTGTACTGCTTTTTTGGGAAAGCCTGGGTCAGGAACCTGCTGTCTCAAACCGTTTAAATGCTGTTTCAGGGGCTGGCCATCCTGTGCTGCTGGCTGGAAGGATTTGTTGACCTCTGAAGGCTTTTTCCCCAACAGAGGTGCAGGTAGTTTCAGAAATGTCATGTACAAGGTAGCGTTTACAGGCTCACTTGTCTAAATCGTGCTTTGCCAAGCCAAAGGCAGTGGTGGGTACAGGCAGAGATAGTATCAGAGTAGAAAGATGAAGTTTATCTTGCCAGCCTGCGGGATTTGCCATTCCCCTTCCCCTGCCCAGCTGTATCAAGCAGTACCAGTGCTCCTTGCTTTTTTTTCCACCTCTTCTCATCATTCACATCACAATATCCTCACGGGCCTTGTTGTTTTGTTGTCACCTTGGCTGGTGTTACCTAGCTAACCAGGACTCACCATGTTTGCCACAGAGGTGCTTTCCTCCGTGGCCAAAAACGTGCCTGAATCTTTGCCAGCTCCACCTTCAGCTCAGAGGCATCTGATCCCTTTCTGTAGCAGAGGCGCCCTTGGGAAGATGATATTTCCTACTTTGTTGGACCCATTCATGATTGAGGAAGGGCTGAGAAACTTGGTTTAGCTTTCCTTTATCTTCGTTATATGTCATATATATACATGTGTGAGTGCCTATAACCAGTGCCTGGAGCCAGTATGGCTTGGCCAGGGCTCGCTGGTCCCACGCTGCCCTTTACCCATCTCCCTGCAAAGGCAGAAGGACCCAACTGGGATGGAGAGTGAGCTGGAGGAAGTCAGTCGTGTTTGAGAGAGGCCGGTGGCTGTACCGGGGGTCAGGGGCAGGACAGGTGGTCTACACCACGACGGGATCCTTCTCATGTGCCACGAAAGTGGGAAGGTGTTTGAGTTACAGAGGGTGGACGAGTCACAGCGGGGAGAAGCCAAATTTATCCCTTCCTCAGCCCCAAGGTTCCCAATTCTGGGCCAGTCAGGTAGAAAAATGTGTTTCAGAAGTGTGTTCCTCGTCTGTGGGTGACCACCGCCGGGCTGTATGATGGCACGCTCATGGCTGTGGGAGAAATATGTGGGAGCAATCCCTGCCTGCAGCAAAACACGGCCCGGCAGGGTTGGCTGTACAGGTACCTGCTGTACCATCCCAGCATCTGCTTTGGGTTCCTCCTCCAAAAGTCTCTTATTTCTTTCCTCCTTAACCTTATTCTCTCTCCCTGTGGCCGGACAGCCCCGCGGTGCGGGCTGAGCTCACCGTGCTCCCACCCAGCCCTGCCCCATCCCATCCCTGCTCCTATCCCATGGAGCACCACGGTGGGTGAGTCCGGCACAGCGAGACCACCAAGCCGCAAATAATTACACCAGCATGGACGCTGCTGGGTGGGAGGCAGGTGTCTCCCAATTGCCGGCTTTCCATGCATAGAATCACGGAATGGTTTGGGTTGGAAGGGACCTTTAAAGGTCATCTAGTCCCACCCCTCTGCAATGAGCAGGGACATCTTCAACTGGATCAGGTTGCTCAGAGCCCCGTCCAACCTGACCTTGGATGTTTCCAGGGATGGGGCATCGACCACCTCTCTGGGCAACCTGGGCCTGTGTCTCATTACTCTCATCATACAAAATTTGTTCCTTGCTTCTAGCCTGAATCTCCCCTCTTTTAGTTTAAAGCCATTACCCCTTGTCCTGTCACTACAGTCCCTGCTAAAAAGTTTGTCCCCATCTTTCCTAGAAGCCCCCTTTAGGTACTGGAAGGCTGCAATAAGGTCTCCCCAGAGCCTTCTCTTCTCCAGGCTGAACAACCCCAACTCTCTCAGCCTGTCCTCACAGGAGAGGTGTTCATCCCTCTGATCATTTTTGTGGCCCTCCTCTGGACCTGCTCCAGCAGGTCCATGTCTTCCCTGTGCTGAGGACCCCAGAGCTGGACGCAGGACTCCAGGCAGGAGTACTCTGACAATCCAAAGGATCATCTCTCCAAACAAACCAACACAAACGCAGCCCCCAAACCCCTGGGGACCACGGCACGTGGCCACACCAGCCTCATCCCTCGTGCTGGTCTAGCTCCGCTCCTTCCCTCCCAACCCCACTCCTGTTTTTTTTTTTTTTTTTTTTTTTTTTTTGTCTCTTCAGGTCTTGTCCAGATCCCCGTCAGCATGTACCAGACCGTGGTGACCAGCCTGGCCCAAGGCAACGGCCCCGTTCAGGTGGCAATGGCACCCGTTACCACGAGGATAGCCGACAATACCGTCACCATGGACGGGCAGGCAGTGGAAGTGGTGACCTTGGAACAGTGACGATGCCCAGAGCAGGATCGTGGTGATTTTCCTCGTCTCTTACGCGAATAATTTTTTTACGCCTCTCCAGAGATGCAATCAGGTGGCATTGAGTCTCCCAGCTTTGGAAGCAAAGGTTTTGTTAACCTTTTTTTTTTTTAAAGGAAAAAAGAAAAAAAAATACTAGCAGAGGATGTGTGTTAAGTGCATTTTTATAGCGCCACTCTGCTCTCATAGGAGTGAGAAGCCAAATTGTGACGGGACTTTCATTCCAAGGAGATGTAAAAGAAAACAAAATAAAGCAAAGCAACCCTTTAGCTCCCATTCCCCCCCCCTACATGGGATTGAGCAGGGTGAGGCCTGGGGGGGGCCGAGGCATGGCGAGGGGAGCACAGACGCCCTCGGCCAAAACCGCTCCAGAAACATCGTCGTCCGCACTTGGCTAATTAGGTTTCAAAGATTTTAACGTGGACTTTTATATTAAAAAAACAAAACAAAAACACACAAAAAGAACAACAAACAAAAAAAAAAAAAAAAAGGAAAAGAGTTCAGAAAAGGCTCCTCTCCTGGGAAAAAAAAAAAAATGCATGTGTGACTGCAGGAGGGTGGCAACCTCTTGAAGGGATAACGCTCTTCCAGGAGCCAACGTGACTGCCGCCCTCCCCGCGCTGGCGAGCGAGACCACCTCTGCCTTTGACGACCATAAGCGCCGCTGCGGAGAATCCCGGCCGTGCTCCGCTCGGCTCCCCTTGGTGCACACTGGAGACCTGTTCTTATTTCTCTGCTCTCGAAACGTACCTGCCATTTTAGATCTCTTCTTTTTTTTTTTTTTTTTTTCTTCTCTATTATTATTATTGTTATTATTATTATTATTTCCTGTTTTTGTGGATCTAGACCGGAGTGGAAACACCTCTAGAGGGGCTCTGGCTGCATCCCGCCCCGCTCTCCCACCACCTTCCCAGGAGTTCCCTTGCCAAAGAGCTGCCTCGGGTTCATCCCGGTCCCCGCTGCCGTCCCCCAGGACCCTGCATCCTCCCCTGCCCGTCCCCAGAGAGTCCGGTTCCCCGTAAGAAAAGCTTCACTTGAAGGTAGCGGGGAGGGGAGCCAAGCGCAGACCCTTCCCTTCGGGGACCCCTCTGCACCCCCCAAACCACCCCCCCCCCGTCCTGCCCTACGTGCATCTCCTAGCACAGCTCTGGGGGGACTTTTAATCCCCATCACCCAAAAACCTTTCCAGGAGGGTTTAAAAAAAAAAAAAAAAGGCCTTGGGGGTGTTTTTTGAGAGCAAATCTTACTTTGACCTCCCCGTGGGCCAAACCCTTGCATCCCAGCCGCAGCGCCCGGCCAAACCCTCCATCAGCCACAGCCCCGCCGCGCGTGCAGTTGTGCATGGTATTTAATTTTGGGGGGTTTGGGGTTTTTTTTGTTTGTTTGTTTGTTTGTTTTTTTATTAATTCCAAGTGGCCATTAACAAAGTTCTCCACATCTCGCTCCGCCTTCGAGGAAGTTTTCAGATTCTTGTATTTACTTGTTTTATATGGAAAAATATCAAATGTTCTTTGTATACATTTCTTCTGTACTTTAACGAGGGGAGGGAGATCTTTCCATAGAAACAGTCCTGGTTCTCCAATTTGTTATTATTATTTTCTTTTTTAATTATTATTTTTTTATTGTTGTTGTGAAGATGTCGGTGGCTTTCAAGTCAGTGTTTCTTTGGCGATGAAATGATGTTCTTTTAGTCCGAGAGGTTCCCCCCTGCCCTCCCACCCCTCCAAAACAACAAAAACCAGGCAAGTAGCAGAGCATGGACCCCCCCTTGTTTTCCCAGTGTCTATTATTGCCTCATTCAATAAATTGTTACAAATGTGTCTACCCCTGCGTCCGGCTCTCCTGTTTGGGGCTATTTTAGGGGGGTTTTGGTGTATCTTGCCATCCCTCCCTACCAGATCGGTGTTTTGGGGCTTGGTCCTGCACCCCCCAGCCCTTCCCACGCCAGCTCTGCTCTGCCCTGCCACGACGTTGGAGCTGGTCACAGCCGCGATGATTTTGGGGCTTAATTCTTCCTTTGTGCAATTTATCTCATTCTTTTTTATTCCTCCAGCAGCAACCTGGGGCCGGGTAGAAACCATGGGGGTGCTCCAGCATCCCCCTGTGCTCCCACCCAGGGGGTGAGCCAGCCTTTGGGTTGAATTCCTCCATTTTCAGCTGCAGCAGCCACCGCCGAGCCCAAGCGCCGTCCCCCACGGGGTCCCGGCAAACTGGGGTGCGTTATTTGGGGCGCAAACCCAAGGAGGAGCAGGGAAGCGCAGCGATGGGTTTCAGCAGCTTTATTTGAACGCCGGTGCGGGATGGTTGCAGCTCCGGCTCCGGTGCGGTGAATCCTGCGGGCTTCTTGTAACCTGGGGCAAGAAAAAGAGCGGAGGAAGGCTGGAAGGACAGACAGACGGACAGAAGGAAGGAAAGGAGAAATGTGGCCGCTTTAGCGGAGCACCCATGGGGTGCTCGTGGGTATCCCCGGCCGAGCTGGGAGCAGATCCCCGGCCGAGCTCGATGTCCTCGGACAGGAAAGATGCTGCATTTGCTGGGAGGGAGATCCGGGGGGGGGGTCCGGGGTCCCCAGGACATCCCTGGCCAGGCTGGGGTGCCCTGAAGGAGCCCCGGATCCCGCAGCACGGCCAGGGGTGGGGGCAGCTCGGCCTGGCAGACGCTGCCGTGAGGCTTTAATCTTTGCTAATCGGTCTTTAATAAGCAGGTCGGGGCCTCCCGCTGGGGTGGCTCACGCTCGCCCCAGCACCCCAGGCAAGCTTCGCTTTGGATTTCCCAGCTGGGGAGAGGCTGGTGGGGCCGGATCCTGCTCCCCTCCCCAGCCTGGGCACTATGGGGGGGGGGTCCCTGGGCATTGGGGGGTCCCGGAGTGTGGGGTCCTATGTCTGGCCCAGCTGAGTTTGCTGCCTCTGCCCTCCTCCATCCTAGCACTGCTCTGCCCAGGGTGGACCCCAAATTGCAGGAGTTGACCCCAAATTGCAGGCTTTGACCCCAAAAGCACTGCCGGGTGCTCAGGATGACCCCGGCTGCTGCAGCTGGGAGGGGGCAGGATGGGGGGGGTCTTGGAGTGACTCTCAATGGGATGTGGGTTACTGGGGAGGGGGGTCCTGGGGGCACCAGCTCCCCTTTGGGTGACTGCTGGGGGTGGAGCCTTTTGGGGAGGGGTGGAGCTTCTTGTGTGGGTGTGGCCTACAAGGGGTGGGGCTTGGGAATGATGCTCCGCCCCTGCTCCCCCCTTGGGAGGGAGGGAGGGAGGGAGGGATGGAAGGACAGACTGACTGGTAGATGGATCAATGGCTGGTTGGACAGATGAATGGATGGATGGACGGACGGACTGGTGGGTGGATGGATAGCTGGCTGGATGGACGGACAAACGGATGGACTGGTAGATGGAGCGATGGATGGATGGGTGGACGGCTGGATGGGCAGATGGATGGTTCAATGGCTGGACAGACAGAAGGATGGATGGCTGTACAGACAAAGGATGGGTGGCTGGATTGCTAGCTGGGTTGACTGGACAGATGGATGAATGAACAGACACACAGACAGACTGTGCCCCCCCCCCCCCAACCCTTCACCAGCCCCAGGAGGGTGATGGGGACCCCCATCCGTCCCTCCTCACCCCCCCGGCGCAGGGAGGATGATTTGAGTGTGCAGCCTAATCCAGCATGATCCAATCTCCACGGGCTTACGCCGAAAGCCCCGTAATCACCCAGCGCTGCCCTACATATCCCGACCAGCCGCCCTGGGCCTGATGGGGGGGTGAAGGGGGTGTGCACAGCCCCCCCCCCAACATGTCAGCCCAGAGCTGCCCCTTCCCATGCTATCCCCCGTCCCCCTCCTAAAACCTGTCACCATCCCTCGTGCACCTGGGGAAAGGCAGGGGACATGAGGCAGCTGCCACCACAAGCTGCTTCACCAGTGCCTCAGTTTCCCCACCACCACTTCCCAGAAACTGGGGGCTGTGTCAAGGCCAGATCCAGGGCCAGGGGCAGGATCCAGGGCCGGGGGGCAGGAATTGGCCACCTAATCCCCCCCCCCAGCTGCCCTGACCACATCGCGGGGCCGGATCAGCCCTTAACGCCCGGAGTCACGCGGGGATACGCGGCTGCGCTGCTCCAATAACCAGCATCCAGCAGGTCCCTGTTCTGCCCCCCCCCCCCATGGAGACACCCCGGAATGCCAGACCCTCTCCTTGGGGTGTAGGGGGGGGCGGCTCACCATCACTGTCCCCCTATACCGCATGTGCACAGACACCCACCGCATTCCCCCCAAATCCATACTGGACGGAGCAGGACCCCACGAGCACCCTCCCAGCACAACAGCAGAGCCCTGGGAGAGGGGAGGGGGATGCACAGGGTGGCCGGTTGCACCCACGGGTGCCAGGGGCCCATGTCCGCGGTGGTTCCCCGGGGCTGTAGTTGGCAAGTCTAGAACCACCGGATCCTGCTACCGCACCAGTGTGAGTTCTACCATTGCCAAAGGCAGCCCCGGGGCCGGGCACTGCTGGCACCACCGGCACCGACTCAGCAGCCAGACCCTGCTGTGGGGATGGGGTCGGGGGGGGACAACACGCAGCCACGGTGCCAGGCCTGGAAAGCTGCAAAAAATAGGAAAAAAAAAAAAAAAAAAAAATTTCACCCATCCAGCCAAAAAACTCTGCATGCAGCCTCAGCAGATTCCCCCCGTGAGGATGCTTGGCTTAACCGGGGGAAGATGTCACCACCGTGGATCCAGGAGGGGACAAGAAGGGGGGGGGTTTGTCCCATCCTGCTCGTGATGGCCACCACGGGGAACACGGCCTGGCTGAGATGCCTCCACGGGCTGGGACACCACGTTGGGATGGACACCCTCCCCCAATGGCACCCCCAGATGGGGTCTGTCGGACATCCCTCCATCACCCCAGCAATTTTGGGGTGGTTTCCACTTTCCCATCCCCAGCAGCATCCCTCGCTCCCAGCACCACCCCCCCCCCCCCGCCCCCCCCCCCCCCCCCGCTGAAACCACCTCCCCAGCACCGATGCTCATCCGTCCCCCACCCTGGCGCTGCTCTCTCCACCTTCTCCCATATTGGCACTACACATAATTGCTCGAAAGCTACAAATAAAAGCAAA